TGCTGTCAGATGGCCATCTAGCCTCTGTTTCCTCCAAAGAAGGAAAACCCACCACCTTCCAAGGAAGCCTGTTCCACTGAGGAACTGCTCTAACTGTCAGGAAGTTCTTCCTAATGGTTAGCCGAAAACTCTTCTGATTTAATTTCAGTCTGTTGGTTTTGGTCCGACCTTCTGAGGCAACAGAAAACAACTCCACACCATCCTCTAGATGACAGCCCTTCAAGTAACTGAAGATGGTTATCATATCACCTCTCAGTTGTCTCCTCTCCAGGCTAAACATGCCCAGCTCCTTCAACCTTTCCTCATAGGACTTGGTCTCCAGACCCCTCACCGTCTTCATTGCTCTCCTCTGGACACATTCCGGTTTGTCTATATCCTTCTTAAATTGTGGTGCCCAAAACTGAACATAATACTCTAGGTGCTGACACAATACTCTAGGTGAGTATTGAACTCCCTCAAGGGAAAGCAGTATAAAAATATGACAGATGGATAGAAAAATGACATTCCTGACTCTGAACAGCTAACGTCATAGATAGATGCACTGTGCTATGGTGCAGAAGTTGGATAAAATTATGGCAAAAAGGTTAACATAGCTCTCATCTCTGCCTTGCCAGAGATCAAAATACTAAATTTGCTACTATTCTTCACCTGTCAGTTAACATCCCACCATCTATCACTTATTCTGCTGTTTCCTTCTGCCAACAAGACTGAAAGGTGTACTTTTAATTAACTGAGCAGCTAGAGTAATATTTTTAGCATTTTAATCACACTGTAATTCATGTACTTTTAAGAGTTTAAATCCTGACATAGTATTCTCTGGAATAATTATACTGAGCTTCACCTAATCAAAACACAGTATTTGTCACACTACCCAGATGTAATTTAGATTAACAAGCTATCAAAGGCTGATCCTATTAGTATTGCACCAAACCTTAGTATTTATGGAGAGGGAGTAAATCAGAAATGGAGTGGTGGCAACAGAAAGATATTAAAGGTACAAATTTATTCTGGTTTGGAACAGATAACATGTAGTGCCAATTTATTATAGGAATAGGGTTAGTTCTAGCCAGGTTTTTCACTTACTCTTGACCAATACCCCCCTTTCTAGGGGTTGGACTAGATGGCCTGTATGGTCCCTTCCAACTCTGTGATTCTATGATTCCTTACTACCGTTCCTGTCCCATAGGGCTTCACTCCAAGAAGGTCCCATGACCTCCAGCACAGCCTTTCTGGTTGGTCAGAGGTGACACCTCTGTAATGGACAGTAACAAGTTAATGCTTTAACCTGGTCTGGGAACCTTGAGTTAAAGGGGATTCAAATGGAATTCTACAGTTGAGAGTGTTAGTTAAGAATGACAGCTGAGAGTGGAGTTAAACAGAGGGAGAGGATCAAGGAGGATCCTGAATTAGGGAAGTAGAATGAGTAGCCCTTCCCTGAAGGAAGTGGCTCCTAATAAAGATATGTGTGTGATCCCTATCAAGCGGTTAAGAAGGAGAACTGGAACTTGTGTGGAGATTCCTGCCTTCACAAACTTAAGTATTTTTGAGACAAAGAAGCTTATGTTTGTTTATTTAAGCAGTGACTGCTAAGAGAGCTCTCTCCACAATTTGAAAAGCCTGTCTGTATAACAAAATAGCTACTTGATTGTGACAAACTATGTACTGTTTATTTTCATAACAAAGTTACCTCATTCTTGTTACCTGTTCACCTTCTAAGTCCTAAATCTCATACCTACCTGACCATTTCCCCTCAAAAGTAAAATAAAGCAGTCTGTTAGTTTTGAATTACCATCAGCTTCTCATGTGCCATTATCAGACAAAGACAAAGGAAGGATTTTAGTCAGACCCTCAGTTCCTTAGGCTGGGACAGCATATCTCTAGCTACATTTAATAAAGGGTGGGGGCGTGGCAACACTGAGCAAGATGGCAGTCATTTGATCTTTTGGCTCCACTTCCCCTTTCCTCCCCCAAAGCCTCTATCATGTCAATACTACACTAATCTGGTAAAAATAATGGGGGAAAACAACATAATCATTCTAAATGCCATTCACACATCTCTAAAATGATGAATAAATCCACACAAGCCTTTTTCTCACCATGGGAGAATCAATCTGAATAACTGGGTGGGACAGACAGCAAAACAAAGAATAGCAAAACAAAGAAAAGGGACTGTCCAGCCCAAGAAATAGAAAAGGGGAATTTGGGAAGTCAGGAAATTGTTATAACCTCTGTTCTTTTTCAGCAGCAAAACAGTTGGCTTGATCTAACCAATGGACATTCCTTGATTTCTGTGTACTAGGTTAAGCCACTTGTTGGCTGTGGGTGGCCTGCTTGGCATCAGCCAGAGCCTGGGCCATGGAATGGGTTTCCTGAAGAGGTTAGGGGTGCCCCTTTTTGGAGATCTTGAGAAGGCAGTGCAAAGGCCAGGGCTTTTAATGGGACATCTTTTAGAAGGGGAGGGAGATACTGAGGTTTTTAAAAAAATCTTTCGTTTTAATTATTATCTGTAAGCCACCTTGAGACAACAGGAAAAGTGGAGTATGAAAGTATCGATTAATAAATAATGCCATATTTGATGGCCAGGGGCCGAATTTGTGAACTATGTTGTGCTTGAAATGATAAGAGATGACTTTAAAGTTCTGTCTGGGGCATTAGGATGAATGATGGGCCACTGACACCATGTGAACCATCATTTGCTGTTAACAGTGATCAGCATGCTCATGTGACTCAGAATCCAGTGAACCCGAAGGAAAGAATGGTTTGGATCAAGCAATCCATGAGTGCAGGCACTGTGGATCTCTCTCTTGTTACCCTTTGCCCTGGCAGTTCTTGCTGATCCTAGGAAAGTTTATTCCTATAGCTATGGGACCTGTGTGAACCAGTTGCTATATGAGTCAGGAAGGCTGCACTGGGGAAGGGGTGATATTACCCCCTCCTCCCTCTTCCATCAGCGCAGTTCCTCTGATAAAAGAGGCAGACAAGGTGATTTTGTTCCCTTCCTCCTCCCCAGGAGTTTTTGTCAACTTTCCAAGGGTCAGAAGTCAACTTGGGAGTCAGCTTTGCCTCTAACACCTGCGGGTGGGTCCAATGCAACTGACAGCAGATTTGTTCTTTTATTTAATTTTCATCCATTCCCCCCCCTCATAATTGCCTTTAGTTTCCATTTACTGTTATATCTTGGGTGACTACCTTTCTATTCCTTTACCACCATCACAAATGTCAACATCTCTTGCATTCACAACTGGATTCAATGTATGTTTACTTAGAAACAAGTCAAGTACACATAGGATCACCTTTGTGAAAGAACAGTATATGGCACAGGAAAATGAAAAGTAATTATACGAATTCCCTCCTTCCCTTGTATCCTTCTGCCAGATGCTGACGTCATTGTCGTCTCAGTGGCAATCTAGCACTAGCATAGAGAATGACTCTCATTCTTCTCCCTGTTCTGGCAAGCGATTGGCTATTCATCACATGCCAAGCTCCAAGAAAACATGGGTGGCAGACCTCCGGGGCCTCTTTTACTTGATCGAGCAGGGAGAATATGGAATATCTTGAAGCACAGTGCTATGACAGAAATACAAGCTCAGTCCATTGTGTTCTGCAAACACAAGCAAATTTTCATCTCTGATTACTGGGTTCACCCAGACAAAGGGGAAAACATGAGACTGTGAGTGTTCCTCCCCCCACTCCAATAAAATCAAGTCATGCCAAGCAGATATCGTGCCTTAGAAAATCCAGTGTGCTGCCAAAGTATAAGCAGAGATGGCACTCAATTTTCATTTACCTCTAGGTACATTAAGACAGGTGTTCCTGACGAGACCTATCAATACAAATACATTTTGCTTAAATAATAGGAGCTGTAGAACCACGTGTGTTAAAAGGACCTCACACTAAAGGTAGTTGCTACCCCTGTCCTCCATTGAGTATTGCTTATTAAAACTTTAGAAAGTTATTAAAAACTTCACGTCTGCCCACACCTCTCAAATGTAAATCCTTGCATTCCATTAATGAAATGTGAGAGTTCTGACTCTCGGAAAGCAAAATACGCTAGGAGGAGGCCGTTGTCTTGTTATCGGAAATCTTAGGGTGCAAAGCCAATTAAAAGAAATCGCTTTCTCGGTCATGGGGCCAAAAAATTTTGAACTCCCTTCCCAGCGAGATTAGTCTGTCTCCCTCTATCGGTGTCTTCTGCCAACAGGTAAACACTTCTTTGTTTTCTCTGGCATCCCACCAGTAACCGTTTTAGCCCTTCTCCTGCTTTTCGTGCTGTACATTTATGTGTCTTGATAGATCTATTTTATCATTCTTAATGGCTTTTTTTAAAATGTTCAAATGTCTTCATGTTCGCTGCCTTGGGGACCCTAATCAGGTGGAAAGATGGCATAAAAATGTTTAAAATTCTGCTGCTCATACTGGGAACCGAGTCTTCGCACAGTGTTGTTGTGAGAATAAAATGGAGGACAGAGAATCACATATGCCACCCGGAATTCCTCAGAGGGATGCAAGATAAAACTGGAAACGGTAACTGACAGATAGCTCCATTCCCTCCTGTGCCTCACTGATTCCCTTTCCCTCTGTTAGTCATTGCCAGTGACAGCAAAGGAACAAAGGGCTGCAAGAGCTGTTTTCCCCTGTGGAAAAGAAAACCATCACAGATGGCATATAACATTGTAGTTCCACCTTAAGTGTCCCACACAGCTATTTAGCTTGTTATTTGAGAGAAAATGTGACACGGTGGTTTAAGGTCTTGATTAGGATCAAGGAGACCCAGGTTCAAATCCCACCACTGCCATAACAGTCACTGACTGACCAGGAATGCAAACTAGTTAGAGGGCTGTTGTGAGGATAAAACAGGAAAGGGAGAAATACATACACTGCCTTGAGAGATCATGGGTGGGGCAACAATGTACAAGACAGATAGATTTACCTCAGAGCATTTTTGAACAAGGCTACGAAGCTCTAAAGCTTCAACGACTGACCACTTTGGAGATTAATACCTCAACAGTTCACTGGTGTCCTCTTCAAGGGTAGAGGATACGGTCTGTTCTCTGCTCACACAAGCTGTTGGCAACAGTAGGGAGTCACCTAGCATTACCATTCCACCAAGGTCAGGATCTTCAAATAATTTCAGATCTAATAGTTGAGCAGACAGATAAATTCAATTAGATTTGAACTGCAGATAACAACAATGGACACTGTGTTGGAAGGGAGTGGAGATGGGTACCAGCAAAAGTCAGTAATTCCAAGTCAATCATTCATGGCTGCTTCACACATTAAGATCTGACCACACTTCAGTGTAAGACATTCCAGTCAAACTACACACAGATCATTTCAAGTGACAAACACACACTCCGTTGTTGTTGTTGTTGTGTGTATATATAAACTGTGAGGCCACAGTTGGTCAAAGAAGCAACCTCACCTTTGCAGATACATTTGATTATTTTAGCCATTATTTAGGAAGAACAACAAAGATAAGCAAGAGCCCTTACATATTGGTAGGGCCATTATATATACCTTGCTTTTAACTCAACCCGACCCTTTGAACACAAACCCAAATGAGTATTATTCATGTGTGTGTAAAGTGCTGTCAAGTCACAGTCAACTTATGGTGACCCCCGCAAAGGGCTTTCAAGGCAAGTGAGAGGCAGACGCGATTTGCCAGTTTGGTGTAGTGGTTAAGTGTGCGGATTCTAATCTGGGAAAACCGGGTTTGATTCCCCACTCCTCCACTTGCACCTGCTGATGTGACCTTGAGTCAGTCACAAGCTCTGGCACAGCTGTCCTTGAAAAAGAGCAGTTTGTGTCAGAGTTCTCTCAGCCCCACCCACCTCACAGGGTGTCTGTTGTGGGGAGGGGAAGGGAAAGGAGTTTATAAGCCGCTCTGAGACTCCGAGTAAAGGGCGGGGTATAAATCCAATCTCTTCTCTTCTCTTCTTCTTCTTCTTGCCCTTGCCTTCCTCCGCCAAGTCTTCCTTGGTGGTCTCCCTTCCAAGTACCGACTCTGCTTAGCTTCTGAGATCTGACAAGATCACATTATAACATGCTGCCTTCCCTCTCATACGATTCAGAATCAGGTCCAATATCCTATTATCACAATCATTGTTCATCTGTTTGATTTTCTGCTGAAGCAATTTTTAGTATCTTTTATTGTCAGCTGCTTTCTCTCTCTCTTTTTTTGGTACTTTTAATGTTCTTTTAGGCGGCTCTGCTGTTATCGGCCTGCTATTTTTAACTTTTAGTGTTTTGCTATGTTTTACATATTTTAAATCACTGTAAGCCATTTTAAGTGTTATTTTTTTATAACAGAAAGGAAGGATACACATTTTCTAAACAAGTAAAAAAATTATAGGACATGTGAAACTTCTACACTTACTTGGGAAGCAGACAAACTGCACTGTGAAACAGAATATAAATACATTTACTTTCTTTGGCTGACGATATCCTCTTGTTGCCAGTGAACGAAAATTTTTTAGCCGAGCCGAACAGCTCATCATCTGGATCCAATTCTTCATCAAAAATTGTTAACTTGGGCTGGTTTTCTCTGACAGGAGAGAGCAAGGGCTTCTTGGTCTTTTTAGATCTGAAGGTATAAATACAAAAAGATAAATCCAACAGATATTGCTAAAGCTGTTAAAGAAAACCTTGTGGACTTAGAAGGTAATCTCTTCACAGTTGTCTTAAAATTCCCCTTAAAGATATTCTTTTCATTCTTCCAGGAACAGTAGTAGTCGAATGCTAGCTTATCTCACACACACAAATGGAAAATGAGGCATGTTGTTCTAAGGCCCTGGATGGGGGGGGGGGGGGGGGAGAAAGAGAATGACTGAAACAATCAGAAAAGAGCCCTTCTGGATAAGATCAAGAGTCCATCATCCATCTAGTCCAACATTCTGTTTCTCACAATGGACAACCAGATGCCTCCAGCCAATGTTCCTTCTAAGCTGTGGAGTCTTGTGAGCAGAAATTCTACTTTGTGAGCTACTGTCATTAAAGCTGTGAGTGAGCAATTTGACTACTGGATAAATTAGTTTGCTCTGGAGCCATCCTTCCTGAGCTAAGACAAAAATGTGTGAACCAGAGGCTAAAAAACTGTGAGCTAGCTCACACTAACTCAGCTTAGAGGGAACACTGCCTCCAGCAAACCAGAAGCAAGGAATCTGGGCAACTGATTCCTCCTCTGTTGTTTTACCCTTATTATATACTACCTCTTACTGGACTTTACCATCATCAAGTAGCCACTGACAGAGCTACCCTCCCTGAATTTGTCTAGTACTTTTCAAAAGCCATCTAAACTAATGTCCATCACTAGACCTTGTGCCAGTAAACTGCACAAGTTAGCTATGCATTGCATGGATAAATGCTTCTGTTTTTCTTTCCTGATTCTCACCACCCATCAACTTCATTCTTCCCCTCTCCCCCCCCAAAAAATTAAAGAATTATGGTGATGCCATCAGAGGGAGAACAATAGTCAGGTTACTTTCGGTCATCATGGGGGACTCAGTGTGGTGCAGTCAGAGCCCCAGTTCAAATCCATACTCTGCCATGGAAACTTGCTGGGTGACCATGGCCCAGTCACATGTTGTCAGCATAGCCTACCTCACAGGGGTATTGGGGGGATAAAATGGAGAAGAGAAAACCAATGAAAGCCACTTTGGGGCCCCACTGGGGAGGAAGGGGGAAGATAAATGAAGTAATTAAATAAATAACAATGAGGCAAGACAAACCATGCATACCTGGCTGCTGGCTGGCGGGTGGGTTCTAGTCTCATTCTGGGAGTCTTCTGGTCACCACAGAGTTTTTGCCCAAATATTAGAGCGTCCATTGTGCGACATGCCCAGTGCGATGATGTCACCTCTGGGTGATACCATTGAGCTGTGACTGTCAGGCAGGACAGGGCTGTTTGGGGGTGGGGCTCCTCCACCAACCAGCTGGCCGGCAGCAGACAGGGCCACCAAAATTGGGGAAGCCCCCACCCTCATTGAAGAGGATGGCAACCCTATGCATACCACAGCACCCCTCAATCCTTAGTGAAAGAGTAGGGTCAAAATATAATAGACAAATATATCTTTAGCAGTGAATGGCTTTGCAAGCTAACAATGGTCTACTAAAGTCCCTGCAAAAGCCAGTAGAGAACTTGCACTCAAGTAAGATCAGGAAGTGGCCTATAACTGAACTGATTAATTACATTCCACTGTAACAGAGAAATGTTATTTAAAACATTGTGAGCACAAATAAAGTAATTTAATATGTTGTGAGCACAAATAAAGAACTTAGTCACAGGTACAATGTTTTTAGCAACTGTACTAAAAATAAAATACAAGTAGGCAATAGAACCAGCAAAGATTCCAAGAAAATTCAATCTATATTTAATAGCTCTGTTAACACGGTTAGAATTACTGCTAAAGATGAGATAGTTCAAATGCTCTGAAATCAAGCTTGCAGTAAATTACAAAAACATAACCCCAGTGAGAATCATGTTTCTGTTGCTTTTTGATCTCTTAGCAACTGGAAAAAACCCGTGTCCATATTTCCACATAAAATTCTTATTATATTTTCAAAAGCCCGAGGCTGATCTGATTGGAAGAGAACCTATTGTATATTCAAGGGATTCTAGTGATTCCAGGGACAATACAACGGAACTGTTGTGGAAAAATGCCACCCCCAAATCTGGATGTCCATCTTAGAAAGACAAGCTTCATTCATTTTGCTTTTCATGATAGAGCTGCCAAGTTGCCAAGTGGAACTTACCTTGGCGGCGGGGCACTCCTGGGTGGATCCCGGAGAGCACACGCGCGCTGCACACATGTCACCAGGAAGTGACGTTATGACGCCGGGCATAGAGTTTTCCCTTGTATGGCCGTGGGCCCCGCCCCCAGCATGCCCAGCGTGCCTGCGTCACTTCCAGGTGATGCGCACGCCAGGGCGGAGTTCCCCCCAGGGCCTGATTCCGCGGCGGAGGAAATCGGGCCTCCGAAGCAGGGGTTTACCCGCCACCCGCCCCCACTTGGCAGCCCTATTTCATGAACATGATCATTGCAGTTCTTCATAGGGATGGGTAGAAACCAGTTCACAAGCCAGAATTTGGCACGGAGGTCCTGAATTGATGTTCGGAGAAGTCACCTTCCATGAACATTTACCAGACTTTTGTCCAGTTCGGCTGTTCGGGCCATTTAAACTTAACAGCTGAGCAGTGTGAGTCCGCAGCTGACCTTCAAAATGGAGGGAAGTGAAATGGGCCAGTGAAATGGCTGCCAGCCATTTCAGCCGAACAGCTGACGGGCACACCCACGCTACGAGCCATTTAAATCTAACAGCGGGGCGGGTCCACTCATCAGCTCTTAGGTTTAAATGGCCGTGAGTCATTAAACCCATCAGTTTTGCTCCCCCCCCGCTTCAAAGAGGGGAGAAATGAAATGAATGTCAGCCATTTAACCCTTCCTGGGAGACAGAACTGACTACGGCTGCCGTTGTTAAAGCAACAACAATAACAACAACCAAGGACAATAATGCTAGTACTTTATTTCATCAGTTGGTTGCAGTACTGTTTTAATGTGTTTCAATCATTTTATTGTAATTTATGTATTGTTTTATGCAAGCTGTCCTGAGCTGGTCTCGGCTGGGAGGGTGGGGTAAAAATATGACTACATAAATAAATAAATAATAAATATACCCCCCCCTTTCTCCCAGGTTTGCAGCCTTTGGGGCATGGTTCAGGGTTCATTTTGGGGGCTGCCCCAAACCAGAATGTTTTAGGTTTTAGGTTCATGCCCATCCCTAGTTCTTCATTGGTCCTAGCCTGAACACTCAAGATGGACAGCGATAATTGAAAAGAGAGGTCCGAACCTTTTTGAGCCTGCAGGCACGTTTAGAATTCTAATACAGCATGGTGGGTTCAGCAACAAAATGACTGCCATGGAAGGGAGAGCCATCCACAAAACGATGGCCACAGCTTCACTTCGGCAACACAGTGCAGACCCTTGTGCTGTGGTGGCCACTGCCACCAAAGCAACGTTTTTTTAAAAATCTGCACAGCCAATCAAATCTCCAATAGTGAACCAACCAGAAGCCTTGCTAGGCAAAAGCCCTACCTGGCCCTGCCCACTTCCTAAAACATGTGGTGGATGTCAGAAAATGTGTTGGCAGACATCTTGTCAAAAAACAGAAGGAGAGCCTTCCCTTTGCCTTGTGAGGCAAGAGGCAAAGGATGGGGGGGTGGCAAAGAGCTCAGGTGAGTGTAGCAAGGGCTTTCCTGGCACTCCCCCATCATTTCCAAATAATGGCAGATTACCACAAGCTTTCCATGGGGGGGGGGTCAAATTTAAGAAGACTCAAAACTGTATGAAGGTCTCCCTCCTGGTTGTGTTCACTGTCAGATGTTCCAGATAGAGGTTATTATTGTCTGGTCTGGATTGGCTGCAAATGTGAAGTGGGCTTTCCCCCATTTCCACACAGCAATGCATGGCACTTGTGTACCTTCCAACTTTTCCCTGGTTGTGATGTGATCTTTCCCAATCCTGCTTTACAATGATGGTTTTGGAAAGACTGCAGTGACACTGGGATGGATGATACGTGGACTGGTCCCACCCACACTTGTGCCATTTGCCCTGCCCCAGCTCCCCACAGCCACCATTCCCCTTCATGCTACCAGACGTTGGTGTGTGTGTGTGTGTGTCTTAATCCGCAATAAACATATTGATATGCTGTAGCAATATGTCAATTAAATGGCTAAGGAAAACCCCCTGGAAAAGCCCTTGAATACCATGGCAAGGGAAGGAAACGGTGGCCACGGTTGCCTGGGCTGGGAAAGTGCAGGGAAATATGCCGTGGAGATGCTCTGCTGCCACAGCAAATGCCTCTGCATTCACAGCTGCAATGAGAGCTGTGTGGAAGCTGTCTCTGCCTTGAGTTATTACCACCAAGGCTGCAACAAGTGAAACTCAGTTTATGACTGTCTATCCTGACCTTGAACACAATTGCCAGAGAACTTTTTGAAATCACCTGGATGGCCCAGGTGAGCCCAATCTCATCAGATCTCAGAAGCTAAACAAGGTCGGCCCTGGCTAGTATTTGGATGGGAGACCACCAAAGAAGTCCAGGGTTGCTACGCAGAGGCAGGCAATGGCAAACTGCCTCTGACCATCTCTTGCCTTGAAAACCCCAAGGGGGGGGGTCACCATAATTCAGCTGCGACTTGACGGCACTTTCCACCACCACTAATGATTTCACTGCAATCCTCTTATTTACTGGATGATGCGCGGCTTGTGAGTCATAATAAAGTTCCTCCTCCAGACTCTGATGCTAAAGAGAGATGCCGTGCAGAAAAAATGAAGGAGGAGACACAGAGACATAAGCATCAACACTAGCTAAACATTTTTCAAATGTTGGCATCTAAATAGAGTTGGACGGATTTGTTAACATTCCTCCACAGAGTCTGGTAATTTTTCCCGCTCACTTGCTTAATTTTGGATTTTCTGGAATACATTACTCACTATTCCAAAGGAAGAACCTCTGGACACAGAAAAGGAACAACCACATTCTTTAAATATTATTGGGGCAAAAGCTGAGGTGGAATCATTTGTA